CTGTCTAACACAGCTGAAAAGCAGTGTTAAACAGTTAGCTTTAGATCCAGTGCAACTCCATAATATTTACACTTATAATGACTAAATCTAGTATTGTTTGTGTAGTTCATGGAGCCGCTTACACTGTAGTACCTGCTGTTGTGGCATCTTCAAGACTGCAAAATTAAAAAAGTATATTTTTATTGATATTAGCAGAGTTTCTGAACTGTAGATGAAATGTAACATTTATGATATGGTGGTTGCTAAAGGCTTTGGGGTGCAGGGGTTTCTGCTTGTGCATATTTAGATGGTACTTAACGGGCAGATGTGTTCTCGTATGGTAATATTTCATTATTGGCTCGTAATTGGAGTGTACTTTTCTGCTACGCTGCTGCAAGAAATATTCATATAGAATAGGAATAAAAACGTTTACAGAGATTTAGATTCAGTATGTTTGATCAATTACTCTAGATCTAGTGTTGATATCCAAAATAATACTAATGTGGAAAATATTGAGTATTGTTAAGAGTTTTCTGTTTAAAACAATGTTTTATGTGTGTTTTGTGTTGACAATAAATGGAGGGTGGAAATCCACAGTGGGATCAAAATTTTTTTAATATATCCTCTTCTGCCTCACTGAAGTCATACTGCAGCTCAGGTGGTGTTTGTTTCATCTTTCCTCACATCATCTTTTGAATATGAATGTTGCTTTATAGTGAATGTCTCTTAATAGGCTTTTGTCTTGGGTTACAGTTGTGGTAGTTGAATCTGCTGTTATGTTCCTTTATAATTCGCATCCTGAAACACTAGAACTACTTTGAGTAAAAAAAAAAATATATATATATTTTGAAACATTCATTCCTTTGTATGTCTGATGCCTAATAAAGCACATTACGCGCTGTTTTTGTCCAGAAGTCATTTTTTGAAATGTTGCAGTAAGTCAGTGCAGCTGTATAACAGCGACAGAACACTAGATGGCACACTAACGTTTACTTTCTCAAGGTGACTTTTATACACGTCAATGTAATTGTTTGATGTAGGAGAAAAATGACTTAATTTAACAAAATAATTATTAGGGCTGTCAATATTTGTTATTGAATTATGATGTACTGTATGTAAATGAGTCGTTATAAAATTATTGGCTGAGAAAACAGACTTGATGAAGAAAATTAAGACATTACATTATTGTCATATCTAAATATATAAAGTGGCTCTAGAATGTTTTCAAGCCAATCTCTGGCGTACAGTGCTCAGGAATGCACTCAACAGGACGTGTTCTTGTAGTCCATTAACATGCTAAATTGACGTTTTTTAGCATTTTTACAGAATGTGGGGTAAAATTTTTTTATTAAACATATGGAAATCTATTATTAGCTCAAACCGTTTCCCAGTCGTTAGACGTATACATAATATCCTAAAGGCTATTTTAATTAGTCTACCATAGGGTCTGCAAACACTCAAAAACTTGAAAGCTTTGTGTGCTTTTCTTTTCTGTGTTTCTAAATACAGTCTGACCTAAGGCTGTTAATTAGCTCTTAACAATTCAGTCTGCAACCTATTATAATCAAGCCCAGTTTCTGGAATAAACACATTACGCCATGTTATAATTGGATTAATAAACACACACCAGAAATTGTATAGTAAACAGCTGCCGAAAAAAAAATCGTTTTTATTTTTTCCATGACCATTAACCAGGAGCTCATATGAACACAGGCACCTTGGAAAGGTCTTAACACCAAAGAAAACAACAACAGCGGCACCAACGAGCACCAGAACATTATCACCGTAGCACAATTACAATGGCAGTTTCTATTTACACACAGCTCAGAGTAAAAACTAGTACAGCCAGCAAGTGAGACAGATAATAATAACAGTCACCAAGAGTTTTCGCCCTCAGAAGGAAGGGAGATTAAAATCTATTGAACTTTGGGAAAAGAAACAAAACGGTGCAATTAGATAAACATTATAAGACACTGTACGTAAAGCAAGTGCTTCCAGTTAATGTATTGCGATATTTTATCAAGTCCAGATACTGAAATATCATCAGCTCCCTCTATGGTCATATATCCAGACTAGTAAGTAAATGCGATAAGTGTAAAAAAATTACTTCTTTCCGTCTATTATGAGTTATATTTGTCAGGTGTTGCCGCGTGAACCTGTGCACTAACGCATAAAATTGCATAATTGGGTGAACACAGACACTCACAATGACAAAATATAGTGGCACTAAGCCTTAAAAATATCCTCTAATTAAGGCCCTCGTTTCTGCTGATACTTGACACGGTTTAACAATAGGGCTACATTTGTATTCATTCCATTAGATTTAAATGTTGCCGGCCAACAGCCTTCAGCAGCAAGAAAACCCTCTGAACCCGTGAAACCTGCGCCTCGGATCTTTCTGCACTGCATTATGATGGGTTTAGATGAAAAGCTCGAGGGAGACCGTGAGAGGTTGAAGCCCCGCGGGAACGAACCTAACGGCGGGAAACGTCTCTGCAACGCACTCAGCTCGACCTGGCGTGTGACGTCTGTGTTAAACCCAGGATGAACTGTTATTAATGTTGCCAGGGGCCGCTCATTTATCTCATCGCCTCAGATACAGGTCAGTGTGTGTCAGGGGACATCTACATCACTTTACCGTTCACACGGAATGCAGGTCGCAGCGCGAGGAATAGAAAATAACGGATGTATTCGCGACGCCATTTTGAATCATTTTCCAACGGAAAAATTTGCTACACTGGCGCTCTTTTCTGACGCTGCGTTCTTAACATTTGCTGGGCTTTTCTTTTCTCAGGTTCTTGAAGGCCACAACCACTTAAGCGTGAATGGCCCTTAAATGTGCAGTCACATTTAGCTTCGTACAGTGAAATTCCGGGGGAAAAATGCAGGCATTTCAATAGCAACCCAAGCGTTTAGGAATTTTGTGTGAAGGTGAAAAATGTCCTCTAACGGATTTTACATCAGATTCGAGTTTGTTGAACTGTTAACACTGAAATTTGCCACGTTTACCCATAATGCTGCTTGGTTTGGAATCGACCTCTGAGTTAACGGCACTTTTGACAACGGACCTACTTTGCCCGCAACAATTCAGCTGGTTTTGCAAATGTGAACGCATCTTAGCGGTGGATTAATAAAACTTTAGTTGTACACATTACTGTGCCTTAATTTTACGTTGTGACATTTATACAGCCTATTTGTTATTTGCTGTGATGTGTCTAATTTGAAAAAAAAATCTTTGGGTTTCTTGATTTTAAACCTTTCATAATTTCAATTGTAGGCCTAATCCTCAGTTCGTTAGTGTTAATGTAACAAAGTTATATGCATAATATGGTACAATCAAGTTACAATTCACTTCTTGAAAACCTGCCAATTTCAAGGGTGTCCCTCTTCAGAATATTTTCAAGCATATAAATATACCATCCATTTATTCATAGCTACATTCATAGCTATTGCTTGCACAATAAAATCTGTCCCCCCATCAATGACTTTATCCTCACATTGGCATAGAGACATCAACTACCTTCTTCAATGAACAGCTTCAATATACATATAGTCAGTGTGCAATAATGAATAATACACAGTTTTTGAATATAGTCTAGACATTGCTTACTGGTCAAAATAATTTTGGTAAATGGCATGGGTCACCCAAACACCTCTTTTCCTTTATGGCTTTACAACTCGACTGCTGCATTATTTTTATTTTTTTTCTGCTAGCAGCGGCATGGAAAGATGAAGACATCCTGAGTTTTCCCTTTTTCTCTTTACACAGTAGACTTCCATCATGTGCACAGGGCATCAGATGCCCGTTCTTAACATCAAACAATACTTATAAAATCAGGAATGTCAAAAGAACAGACAATGGGACAGACATGTGTGAACTAAAAACAAAAAGCACAGTTTGGGCTGACTACATTTGGTCTTTGAGGTGAACTGATCCTCTCTTTTAGATCATTTCGAAGTGCTTATGTAGTATCCGTCAGGCGTTTGTTATTATCACCTGTGCTACGATGGTCAGAAGCTGGTTGTTTTATCATCAGCATCTGTTTGATTTTATGGCAGTCCCCCTCCTCTCAATGGACTATAAAATCACTAGATATGAGCACATGCTGCTAAGTATATAACAGGTCTAAGAAGAAGCCACACACATTTGGCTTTCGGTCCAGACCCAGTGGAATGACTGCAGAATGTTGCCGTTTCTATCAGCGCTTCAGCCAATCAGACTCTTAAAGTGATAGTTCACCCAAAAAAAAGAGTCTAAAGAGATTTTACCTGGAACACAAAAAAGAAATGTTTTGAAGAATGCTCATGCTGCTTTTTTCCATACAGAACAGCTTATAGCAGTGGTTCTCAACGGTTTTGTTTAAGGCCCCATTATCCACAATTGTTTTTTTTTTGGGGGGGGGGGCTTTGTTTCAGAACATAGCATGAAAATGGGCGACTATGAAAAGATGCTGAAATCACATGATGAAAATACATTTTCAGAGGAAGTGGATTTTGCAAGTCATTCCTATAGTAACAGCAGCCTGCCTGCCCTGTGCCTGTTTTTACAGATAAAACATCACAAACAACACATTCATAAATTCAGATCATATTTTTTTGTTTCTTTTCTTCAGCATGCACATGCAGTATTAAAAAATACAGTTAGATCAGCAAATACTTGAAAAAGTGTAAAAATCCAGTGCGACAGTCTTTGAGTTCTTGAGGTTAACATGGTTCTTGATTGACAAAGGTCAGCAGTGAGATAATCCATTCAGAGCGCTGAGCCTACATTCCTATGGTGTCTTTTGGCATCTTATTTTCAAGATGTAAAGCAACTTGTTTAGAATTTTTTATTTTTTTTTGCTGACAACAGCAAGGCTTGAGACTGAAATGTGTCACATTACGTCCTGCTTATTCTCTTTGAGATTCTTTGCGATAGGGCTGCATGATTAATCAAAATAAAACCAAAATCGCAAGATGGCATAATACAATAATTAAATCACAAAGGCTGTGATTTAAATAAATATATGAAATGCGTGTTTCAGAGTGAAGCGCGCCACTGTGTTTGTTTACACATGAGCAGCTCATGATCTGGTGTTTTCAGTCTCTGTGCAGTTCGGTATGCAGTAAATGCTGCTCCACATAAACATCTCTACATCTACTCTAAGTTTGAGTCACTTATAACATGCATTTATGAAGTCAATATGCAGCTAACATCTTCTCATAATGACAAACAAGCACAGAAAACCTTTTTCCCCAAATCATGCAGCCCTACTTTGAGAGACATGATAGAAAGCATAAATCGATATCTGGATCCAACCAAGCTTGCGATTCATAATGCTAAGATCTTCTGTGCATGGTCCTATCTGTTAGGCTGGAGTTTTAGTCTCTGACAATAATGGATGATCTCACTGTATAAGCATCTTGTAAGAAAAACACTCCCCAGTCCTTAAAACACAGCCGTATTCAACAAACCCCTGTTTGAAATGTTGATTAAACGTTTCCCGCTGCATTTCCAAAACTGGAGATGAAAAGAAGAAGACAAAAACAACTACGATATTGTAGCTAATAATCGTTTACAAAGCACAACCGGGAAAAGCCACCCCCCACCCCCAAGCTTCAAATTCATCAAAAGGCTCTTTGAGCAGAAAAAAAGCAAGAGCTAGTCCTCAAATCAGTAAAAAAGGGTCCTCCACTCCCACACGTTTAAATCCAGACGAAATGTTGAACTCAGACAAGCCGACACCAGAAACATTCCTTTGCTTTTCTGTGCATCTCAACGCACAATCTCAGACCTCACCAAGGCACAGTCAGACTCCTACATATCCTCATACAAATACATTCCTGAAAGCGGTCAGAGGGACTGGCCCCCTCCACGGAAAACAAAAACAAAACCTCTCAGGGCCCCTTTCCGCCTAGGATAGACATGACCTGATCATGTACCATGGGAACCCGGCAGCTATTTTATCGGTAGTATGCATTGCAAAATGCCAATACTGTCAAATGACAGCAGTGATTATAAGCCCTCTAAGAGAGAGTTAGTTCCATCCTGATGATGCTGTTTCATAACAAAAAGATTTAAATGTGCAGTCTGGAATGTTCGTCTCGACTACAGCCTTTTTTTTCCCACAGACTCAGTCCCATCAACGGCCTCTACTCATTCTTGCTGCTTGTGGCTCGACACAAACACACAACTTATGTAAGTAGACTACTGAGTGGCCCATCTGCCATCTGGCAGACAAACGATTCAGTCTACGCAAAGACAATCAGATTGGGTCAGTCTGACATGGGATATGCACACCCACTCTAAACATCTGCACAGATCCAACACTAATACCAACCAAAGACATATGTGTATCTGATTAACATCGCACTTTCGGATTTTCCTCACATCAGTGCGTGGGAAAAAACATGGCGCTGTCTTTTAAAGCGGCTAAACTAGCATGTTAAACTCTGGACCTGGTGAAAGTTCAGAACAGGAAGCATCTTAATATGTTCCCTAGGATCTGTACACCGGTGTTGTTAAAGTAGCTTAGAATATGGATCAAAACAGTTACATATTTTGAGTAATATAATAGTATTATTAGTTATTGTTAATTACCTATACGGTATGTTTACACAGAACCAGAGAAGACTACTTAGGCTAAAGACAGCTAACACCTCAGCGTCCTACTGAATCTGAACAATGAAAGCTTAGTACTGCGTTACTATGAGACGTGGACCAAGATAGCTTTCATGAGCAGCACTAGTCCTAAATACTGTATACCAGGTAGCTTATATAGGTATTGTAGGTACATTATACTGTTTAACCTGTGAACAAAGTTGGCGATAAAGAAAGTAAATAGTGAAAAGACGACATACTCATGTTGCAGCTTGATATGCACCGTGTCTGTTAAATTTCACATTGTACAACAAAACAAAGGGCTGTGCACAAGTAAACTAGCACCCCTAATGAACACGAGTAATGCGCCGTGGTCTAGCTAACAAAACTGCAGCCAATACATAAGCACCATGGTGACAGGTGTGTGAAACATCATTAGAAACCAAATGCACCGTGATCTTAACTTCACTTAACAGCTTATCCGAGGCAAGAGCACATTTTTAAGTAACTTTTAGGTACCATTTAGAAATATATTCCCAAAACTCATTCCTAAAGGTCTCATTTGTAGGAAACGTGATGGAAGGAGTTTCCCCAAGTATATACTGAGTGTAAACAACTGTAGACATCAGCTTGCCCTCTTACGTAAAATGCCTGTGAGATCTCTCAGACCCTTTGGTCTAAAATAGCACCAGGAAGGGAATGGAGAGACAAGCAGCAGCCTCTGAGATGTTCCTCACACCAGCGGATGGGCCAAAATATGCAGCTTTTAATTATTAAAACTCATTTTCATCTCTGGCATGAGATCACAAAAAGTTTCAATAAACATTGGAGTAGAATTGGAGTGCTAGAGCCCTTAGGTGCTGATGTGTGGCTTCAGCATAGCTGTGCTTTCACAAACAGCTTGCCTCCAGTCATACGGAAAATGCAAGGCCCTGGAGACCTTTTACATGCAAGATCTGTTGAATCGTGTCAACAGAATGAGAGAAAAAAGGAAATTATAGATCAAAACGCAGAAACAGTCATGAACTCTTGGTTGTTGTTTTTTTTCTCTTGTCTATTAAGACACTAAACCAATGGGAGTTTTTTGGAGATGTGATTTAAATGCATATTTATTGACATGGATTTGAATTATAGATTCACATTTAAAATGCTCGTAGTTTTTTTCCGTTGGTCTAGTATCTGGCTTTATTCACACAGGCAGCGAAAATCCTTTTTTTTTTCATGAAAGGCCACATAAAACAAACCAGATCCAAACCACATCCATTTGTGGCATGAAATGAGATGAAAATCCATTTTTCGCCATATTGGGTTTTTTGTAGTCAGAACTGCAAAAGACTACGTGAAATCTGATGTTTATGCACTAGATCCAAACCACATCCATAACAGGTGTGAAATCAGATTAAATCATATTTCTTTAATGCATCTTAGTGTAAATGGTCAAATCAGGTTCCAAGTAGTCTACTGTACTTTTAGATGTTTGTGAGTCTCTTTCATCTCTTGTCAGGGTGATGGTTATAGCATTCCTAAATATCCCATGTAGATAACACAGGATATTGACTACATTGTGCAAACAAATGGATCTAATAATTGAAATCGGATTTGAAACCTGATTTGTGTGCAGTGTGAACAAAGCCTTACTTTATTCTACCAATAAAACCAAGTGTTACTCTGGGCATTCAATACTATATATCTTACCTATATACACATATTGATAGTAAGTGAAAGGGGAACCATGTGATGAACAAAACAGATACAGACAATGAGCTGATCGCAATAAGCACTCTTTGCATGTATATGATGAGTTAATTAGCTTGTGTTGATGTTATATAGACAATATCATATTAGACTATCAGAGCCACCAAAAAAGTGCCAGATAACAATTGCCAACCGAGCTGCCGTATTCCTTGTGAGCCAAACCAAGTGTCAACGTCCCAGAACTTAACAATTTTCATTCCATCCTGGTCACCCTTTGCAAAGAAGCCCATCGTGAAAAGATGTCCATCCTCCTGTGACCAATGTTCTGCCGTGTTACACAATACTGTACCAACCACTGAAGAATAACAAAACCACATCTGAGTGCTTCCAGCTCCTGTGCTGGAGTAGATGTGGCATTTGCTATTTTTATTACTTCCTACTTGAACCTGTGAGGTCAGGAAAAAGGTGAGAGGTAAAGAGCTCTTCACCTTTCAGAGGTAAAATTAACCACTTTGCAGAGTTTTCTTTACCTTTACCTCTCTAGGCAACAGACTGTGGCGTGAAAACACAGCGGGTTCATATATGGCTCTAATATGAATGCAGTTCATTCCTGCTGATGGAGTCCGATGGGAAGGAGAGGTTGTGTTGCCTGAATGACTGTTTTTTGCGATCGCTAACTTTGATGCGAGTCTGTCCCATTGGGTTTTAATGATCGCATTTTTTGTACTTCGTTCTGTTGAAGTCAGTTGCACAAAAAGCAACCAAAAAAAAAAAGGGAAATGGCACGTAAAAAAAAACATTTTTGGTAGCAAGATATTCCTGTGAGTTCTTTGCTGTTAAATCTAACTGCTGGTTTTGCTTTTACTGATCGCATCCCTGAAAGAAATGTCCTATTGGTAAACGCAAATATAAAACCAGAGATATAAAATCTGTCCTTTGTAGGTGCAATTGCTTGTTTCAGCACGGCTGAAAGGGGGAGCTGAAAGTCCTTCTCTTCCCATACTTTTTTTTTTTTTTTTTGCATTGATGAATTTCCATTCAGGAGAGCCGTCCAGTCAACATCCTAAAACAAACCCCTGTGGTGGTACATTCTTGAGAAGACAGGGTTTTCTGGCTGTCCAACCCTTAACCTTTAATAAAATGGGCAGGAGAAATGCAAAAAAGTGCCCATGGAAAAAGAAACACTTTCTCCAGTTGTGTTTTATAGCATTTACAAAGTCTGAAAAACAGCTTTCTTCTCTTTTAAAAAGAGCAAGGGCAGAGAGGCTGGTCTTGCCCTGGCTGGTCCTTTAGGAACTAAAAAAAAAAAAAAAGGCAGTATACTGAACACAAACAAAAAGAGATGGATCACAAGACTTTTGTTTTATTTTTTGCAGTGTAAAGCAACTCTCCTCAGAGGGAAGAGATGGAAATCTGCAAAGATTGGGAGTGCATCTGTTGGTTTTGGAGGGAATGCATAAGGGTTTGACCCTCGAAGTCCACGTGGGTTTAAGGTGAAGCAGGGTGGGGCTGTGGTCAGCAACAAAGAGAAGGGATGTATTTCATTATGCTATGCATGCAAAGGAAGCCCACCCTGTTTTTGTGTTTAAGCCGTCACAGCTGTTTCAGTCAACAAATCTCTGGCAGGCTTTCTTCCAGCGGCAGGCCGTGCACCACATGTCTCTGTTTTCCATGCCGTACACCTTACGACACTTCTTTCCCTCGCCTCGTGACTTCCTACTGCGCAGCACATGAAAAAACACAAAAACAGTTTTACAAAAAATGTTCAACATAAAAGCAAACATTATTTAAAAAAAAAAAAAATGTACTTCCATAATAAAAATTTGGTTGAATAATTAGTTGTTGCTGGATCTTATTGTGCCACATCTGGCGCTCAAGGCAAGTTCATTTTAAGCTTGTAATTTTCAAGTAAGACATGGATAATGTGATCTCAAAATCATGATCATAGGGGAATAATAGAGATTTTTTGAGGTCTCTGATATGACTGGAATTATTTCATGTGAGTGTACATTGTGTACACTGTAATCTAAATGTAAAACTAGAGAAATGAGCATTCATAATTAAATATACAATATCAACCAATTGCGATAAGTTAAAAAAATGATCTAATATTGGATAACCAATATGGTACCTTCCAATATCTGAGTATGATCCTACTGCCTATTAACACAACACCACTGGGTTTACGGACTTTTCACATGCTTCTGGCATCATACCAAGTAAGCAGAGACCAGAACTTATTGATAATTGTACTTTACCACACTACATAAAAAGGGTTTATGATGTGCAAATAGATTCTTACATCTGGACGCCCATAAAAATTTTAAGAATGTCCTTTACGGGAGCCACACCTCCAGCATTCGTCAAGTCTAACCATTTTACAGAGCCATTTTAAAGTACTATGTTCATTCCTTGAGGTGTAAAACTCTTAATTTAAGACTGAAAGGAAGTGTAGTTAAGACTGTACCTGAATGAGCCTGCGGCTCTGGGGGGAGACGAGAGCACTGCAATGGTTTGAGAGCGCTGCTCCCCAAAGCCCTGCGTCTGGCTGTGAGTGGGAGAGGCCTGCAGTCAGACAGATAGAGAGTTAACATCCCTCAGACAAGGCCAAAGACATCATTCATCCATTTCCTGTCATAAAAATATCAAAGCACAATTTATAGAGACACTGAGCACTGTTTAGCCTGTTTTGTGAGCGTTTGTGCATTCGGTTATGTATCAGTGTTGAGATTTGTGTTTGTCAGACTGACTCACATCTCACAGTTGTGTTTGCACATTTGATTTACCTGACATCACTGTCATCAAATGAGAGGCCAAACTGTGGTAGATCAGGAGGCAATTATGAGACACGATCGGTCAGGACTCTACTGTGTGTGTGTGTATAAAGGGACAGCCTAATGCAAGGCACACTGGAGTTCAGTGTGTGCATGTGTGTGATGGGCACAGGAGCGTGTGAGTGTGTGTGTGTGTGTGTGTGTGCTCACAGAGGTGCCAGTAAAAGTG